ATCATCATCATCATCACCACCACCACCATCATCATCACCACCACCACCACCATCATCAACATCATCAACATCATCATCATCATCACCATCATCATCATCATCATCATCATCATCACCATCATCATCTCAATATCATCATCATCATCATCATCATCATCATCATCATCATCATCATCATCGCAACCACCACCACCACCACCTTCCATCATCACCATCAACACCACTATTACCACCACCACCACCATCATCATCATCATCATCATCATCAGAATCATCAGCATCATCAGCAGCATCATCATCAGCATCATCATCATCAGCAGCATCAGCATCAAGATCATCATCATCACCATCATCACCATCAGCATCACCATCACCATCATCATCAGCATCATCATCAGCATCATAAGCAGCAGCATGATCACCACCACCACCACCACCACCATCATCATCATCATCATCATCATAATCCTCCTCCTCCTCATCCCCATCCTCATCCTCATCCTCATCCTCGTTATCATCATCAGCAGCAGCATCATCAGCAGCACCAGCATCAAGATCATCATCATCACCATCATCACCATCATCACCATCATCACCATCAGCATCATCATCATCATCAGTATCATCAGCAGCAGCATCATCATCATCATCACCACCACCATCAGCATCATCATTATCATCATCACCACCACCACCACCATCATCATCATCATCAGCAGCATCCTCATCCTCATCCTCATCCTCGTAATCATCATCATCATCATCATCATCATCATCATCATCATCATCATCATCATCATCATCATCATCATCATCATCATCATCATCATCATCATCATATGCGTCCGTGCCATCCATGTCGGCACACCCCTCACATGGTTCGTGGCCCCATAGGTAGCCCCACCGAAGGCCCCATTGGCACAGGTTGCATGCGGGGATCGGCACCCATTTCAGCACACCCCTCGCGCGGTTCGTGGCTCTACAGGGAGCTCCACCGAAGGCCCCAGTGGCACAGGTTGCATGCGGGGACCGCCACCCATTTCGGCACACCCCTCACGCGGTTCGTGGCCCACAGGGAGCTCCACCGAAGGCCCCAGTGGCACCGGTTGCATGCGGGGACCTCCACCCATTTCGGCACACCCCTCACGCGGCTCGTGGCCCCACAGGGAGCTCCACCGAAGGCCCCAGTGGCACAGGTTGCATGCGGGGACCGCCACCCATTTCGGCACACCACTCACACGGTTCGTGGCTCCACAGGGAGCTCCACCGAAGGCCCCAGTGGCACAGGTTGCATGCGGGGACCGCCTTCCATTTCGGCACACCCCTCGCACGGTTCGTGGCCCCACAGGGAGCTCCACTGAAGGCCCCAGCGGCACAGGTTGCATGCGGGGACCGCCACCCATTTCGGCACACACCTCACACGGCTCGTGGCCCCACAGGGAGCTCCACCGAAGGCCCCAGTGGCACAGGTTGCATGCGGGGACCGCCACCCATTTCGGCACACCCCTCACACGGTTCGTGGCCCCACAGGGAGCTCCACCGAAGGCCCCAGTGGCACAGGTTGCATGCGGGGACCGCCACCCATTTCGGCACACCCCTCACGCGGCTCGTGGCCCACAGGGAGCTCCACCGAAGGCCCCAGTGGCACAGGTTGCATGCGGGGACCGCCACCCATTTCGGCACACCCCTCACACGGTTCGTGGCTCCGCAGGGAGCTCCACTGAAGGCCCCAGTAGCACAGGCCGCATGCGCCCGACGCCCATTTTGGCACACCAGAGCTCCATCGAAAGCGGTGCCCACAATGCGGTACTCGCAGCTGCATATGGTTGGCTCCTTCGTCAAGCTAATTCAAATTCCTCGGTCTTGGAGCGTTGGAAGCGGGAAAACGTGAGAAGGCGAAAAACGTCGGCAAAAAAACACTGGAAATCAACGATTTTACCCTCTTCGGGCTCTCTCGGGGCGGCTCTCAAAGCTCTCTTGGACTGTTTGGGGGGCCTCGTCGGGGCTTTTTGGGGGGCTCTCAGGGGTCTCGGGTGTGTTGGAGGCCTCTGGGCGGTCCCAGAGTCCTCTTGGAGGTTTCTGGAGGCATTCTGCTTCCGCGTTTGGACTCATCTTGGGCCTGTTCTGGGGTGGTCTGGAGCTGTCCTGGGCGCCTCTTCGGCAATCTGGGGGCCGTCTTTGCCCGTCTTTTTTTTTGCAGGAAGCTGGATGCATGAGCAACGGGTTTCTGAGTGCCGGTGGGCCCAGGTGTTTTTGAAATGCCCACCTCTCAAAAAGGCCTCACTGTCTGTGCTCACCAAGCTTCCGAAGAGCAAGCCTACCCGAGCGGAGCTTGCTATTGACATCAAACCGGGCACCAGAATCACTTTACTGCCTTAAAGCGGCTACAATGCCATGAGCTTCTGACATCCGGTTTCCTCGGTCGAGGCCTTCGTGTGATCGTCCGCCCCTAGAAGGCCTCCTACCTTATGCCCTGCGCGGTGCACATCTTTCGCGAAGATGTTCAAATACCGGGTGCCGCTGCCTGTCAGCCCGTGCACCACCTTCAACGAGACACGGTGGCCGTACCGCACCCAGCCCGTTGTCGTGCGAGGCGGCGCGGCACCCGCGATGAAGCTGGTGTTCTTGTGCCCGCGTGCCCACTGTCCAGTGATGTTGATCGACGTGAAGTACATATCCCCACAGGCTGTCCCGATGCGGAGCACGTCTGCGCGCGCCGAGAGGAGCACGTCTTTCTTGTCCGCCTTGAGGGGGATGTGGAGGAGCGAGTACCTGCCGGGGCGCATGATGTCGAAGCGTTCGCCGTGCATGTTGACGAGGTGCGGATCGCCATGTCCGCCGACGTCGTGCCCGACGCCTGGATCTGAAGAGAGAGTGTCGCAGATCTCCTCGATCAGTAGGGCGCTGAACTCACTGGCGGTGGCGCCCATGAACTGGATCTCCTTCAACTGGTGAGGATCGGAGGGGTCCGCGTAGCACCCTCGCCAAGGCAGGGTCGGTTTGTACGTTGAGTCCCACAGCATCGAGCTGGTCGTGCTGGTGTCGAGGTGCCCGAGGACCAGGGTGATGTTGGCAGCCCTGATGTCCTGCATGAGCTGGCACTGAAGGGCATCGGTCTGGTACGGTGTCCTGTAGGAATCCCTGTCCTTCGAGATCACCATCATGATCTTCACAGCGCTTACGTCCCACGGCTTCTCGTTCTTCATTTCCCCCATCGCGCCAGCGTTGTCCTCTGGAGAGTCACCGCCGCCCAATGAAATGAATGGGGCGATCGCGAGCTGCAGCGCGTCGGGGTCAGAGAACCAGTGCTCACCTGGAGTAGGGTGCACTGCCCACTCATAGCGGGGCGGGCTCACATCGCCCTCGTCACGGTAGCACAGGAACGCCATCTGCAGGAAGTTTACCGATGCATTGAAATCGACCGCCAGGTTGTAGACCGTGGTCTTCAGCGCCTCAAGGTACGCCCCAGTACTGCCAGTGCAATCCATGGCGAAACCGATCTGGAGCCACGGGATGGTCTCATTCAGGCATGACTCGTTCGTGCCGTTCGGGGACGGCGTGCTCCCAAGGTGCCGAAGTATCTGGCGCGCTTGCGGACGGGGCCTCTTTCCCATGGAGAGCTGCATCGTCTCGGTGTCGAAGCTGTCGAAGCCCTCGCTGTCGAAGGTCGCTCCGCGGGCGCTGGCAAGCACGCATGCGATCAGCGGCAAGGCCCGAGTGGGCATCATCTTGTCTGGGCGCGAGGGCGCGGGTGTGCAGAGGAGTGTGGACAATCCTGAAAGGCCGACTCGAGAAACGAACCTGAGCCAAAACAGGCTTGAGCCAAGATGGCTACGGAAGGCCGTCTTTGCCCGTCTTGGAAACGTCTTGGGGGCCACTTGGGCGGTCTTGGGGCGGTCTTGGGGGCCTCTTCGGCCGCCTTGGAGCGTTGGAAGCATGAAATGGTAAGAAGGCCAAAAACCATTAAAAAGTCAATTAAAATGTTAGGTTCTCCGGGCGCTCTCAGGAGGCCTCTCGGAGCTCTCTTCAGGTCTCTTGGAGGCCTCCTGGGAGCCTGGAGAGCCGCCCGAAAGCTATCCTGGGTTGCTTGAGAGCGTCTTGGGCCGTTCTTTTACGTTCTGGGGGCTTCGTGGGGTTGTCTTGGGCTTTCTTTGGGCATTTGGGGGGCTCCCCGGGAGGCCGGGAAGCGCGGCACTGGGAGCGCAACCCAGATGTGATCGAGGTGGAGGACGCCCCGAAAGGGGGTCCGGCTTGTTTGTTTGTGTCATATATGTATGCGTGTCCTCCTCAGAGACGTGCGCCAGAGATTACCGAGCGGCATGGCCAGGAAACGCCCGCCGCCGAACATGAGATCTCTCGGCGCGCTCGTCCCCCCTTTGGGGGCGACGCACACATGATGACTACCTACCAGACCACCCCAACCGAGCCCGAAGACCCGAATTTCATCCGCATTTCGGGTTGGGGCGGTACGGGTTCCACACGTGCTTTTCCAGTGTTCCTCGACCCCGACCCCCCCACTGGAAATGGCGGGCAAATCGGGGCCTTCGGGCTGCGTTGGGGTGGTTTGGTGGGCACCGACAAACTGTTAGTATTAGGTCGGGCATGTCCCCCGACAGGCAAATTTTGGAGGATAAAATTATAAAATCCGCCGATCCGGCGTGTGAGTTTAAGAAAGCTACAACCTGAGCTTCAGCTCTGCTGGGGGGGGGCCGGGGGGGCTCTGCTGGGGTAAGGGGGGGAGAGGGGGGGGGTCATCGGGTCCACCCTTTCTTTCCCCCCCCCCCGGGAATCCCAAACCGCCCCCAGACGGGCCAAAA